CTGCCCTTCCCTTGCCAGCTAGACAGGGGCTGGAGTCTGCTGCCAGCCCAACATTGGCTTTGTCCACACTTCTAACTGAGCCACAAAACTTCTTGCTAGCCCACCCCCCCAACGACAAGAGCTTTGCCGCCCCAAGGGGACGAGACGTATTCTGTCTGCAAAAACGCCGACAGCGTTCTCGCCGGCCGAGGTTTAGCACCAGGGCTGTGTCGCTAAACGCTGCGTGGCACAGACATAGCGTACGGGACCCCGGAGTCAATTCCTTAGCTGCTGTGAACAGACATCGCTTCTGCAGCAGGGCCTGCCTTATCATTCCGGGCATCCTACGCTGCCTGAGCACGCGGCCCCATGGGGAGGCTACTCAAGAGGGGGAGAATGCCGGCTGTGGGGGCCTGAGCTGTGGGGGGCAGGCCCAGGGCTGCGGGGGGCTGGTGTGGGAGCAGATACGAGGTGCCAGGCAGAGAGACGCATGAACGGTGGGCCGGTGGAGGGCAGGGGGAGACCACGCAGCCGGCCAGAAATGGGCAACGGTTTCCCTGGCGGAAGGGAAACCAGCCGGTGAGCAGTGGATGGGCTCAGCCCTCTGGGATCTGGACCAGGCTGCTGGCACCAGCGGTGGCCCTGGGCATACAGCATGCAGCTGCCTAGGTCACCACGAAGTGCCCACATGATACCCTAGGCCGCTGCAAATGCAGGGGGAGACCACGCAGCCGGCCAGAAATGGGCAACGGTTTCCCTGGCGGAAGGGAAACCAGCCGGTGAGCAGTGGATGGGCTCAGCCCTCTGGGATCTGGACCAGGCTGCTGGCACCAGCGGTGGCCCTGGGCATACAGCATGCAGCTGCCTAGGTCACCACGAAGTGCCCACATGATACCCTAGGCCGCTGCAAATGCTGTTCGGTGGAGGTGGGGGGGGGGGTGTCCTCACCCAGAGTGATTAAAATACCGGAGTCCTGGAACAGCAACGCTGCCAGGGCCGGGGAAGGCTGAAGAAAATGCCAATAGTCGGCAGAGCCGAAGTGGAGGGAGTTCCTATTTTAACCATGTTACGAGCTGCGCGAGGGATCCTTGTGGGTCTATTGAATTGCAAGACTTACCTTTCAACCCCCCCATGCCAGGGTCTCCTTCCTACAGAAAAGCCTCCAGGAAGATCATGTCACTGATGATATTTAACCTCAAGGGCCTTTACCCCTCCATGCTGGAGCACAGTCACTTCCTTGAAGCTTTGCTTAATTTGCATAACTTTACACTTCTCATTGCTTAAATGGGTAGGTATCAATGCCTCTCCAAGCGTCCGGACAAGGCGTGAGACAGCTGTCCTTACAAAAGTGTATGTCAGTGTCAGAGAAAGGTTCCAAACGTGGAATTCTCACACTGTGGGAATCTCGGGCTGGAACGCTGGAGGTTTTATTTATATAAATACGCGCCTTGAATGAATTTGGCCTAATGTGCTAATTGAGGTCAAGATCTTTCTGTTAAGACTCAGCCTTCTTCTTTCCAGAGCATGTCGGGTGATATCCCGCCAGTGTGAGAGTTGAACATTCCACTTTCTGTCAGCGTTGCCTGGAGGTTTGAAGATTTGTGGTAGTTTTTCACATTTGTAGTGGTCTGTCCTCTGTTTACCAACATATTTCCCTCTTACTCCTGTTCTGTGGGGTGTTTGTGTCAGTTGATCTCCTGACGGTGTTAGGGATGTCCCCTTATGAGTCCAGAAGCAAGGGAGCTGCTATGTTTACTTAAACCCAACATCTAATTTAAAAGTCTCGGAGGGGAGCCATGTTCGTCTGTGTTAGTTTTAAAAAAAATCTTATTTACATCTCTACGTTTCTTTTTTTCTTTTCCCTTCTTCCTCTTGTGAATGTTATTCCTTAAACTAATGACAGGGAGTTTCCATGCCATGTCAACCTCACACTGAGACTAGATCTTTGGTAACATCCACTTCCTTTTTTGTGTAACCAACTTTTTAATTAACTTTATGCAACTTCAGTTACAAAAGAGAAATTAGCTGCAATTGCAGCTAGTTGCCAGGTGGTGACACTTCTTACTAGTCCTGTCTGGAATAAATCAGGGATTCTGACTCAAGAAGTTTTTTTTGGGGGGGGGAGGATTATTTATTCGGTTCTATTTCATGCTGATTCTATTGTAAACCTGTTCTGGATTCAGTATGGGGACTTGATCTGGTATGGGCTACTTTAGTATGAGCCTGTTGCTCTGTGGAGAAATAATAGAAGTGAGCTGAGCGTGAAGTGTTCAAAACAGCCGTGTGCATTGTTCAATATAAAGTAGCTGAGTCCAGCCGCAAGCGGTACCTCCTCTCTTGTATTTCCTTGGATAGGTGATCATTTTCTGCCTGTCTTTGCTACAGATTTATATGGCTTCTCTTGCAGAGTATCTGAGTACTAGGAATGTGAAAGGTGTAGTCAACCTGTGGAACTCCTTGCCAGAGGAGGCTGTGAAGGCTAAGACTAGAACAGAGTTTAAAGAGAAGCTAGATAATTTCCTGGAGGTTAGGTCCATAAAAGGCTATTAGCCAGGGGATAGAAATGGTGTCCCTGGCCTCTGTTTGTCAGAGGCTGGAGAGGGATGGCAGGAGACAAATCGCTTGGTCATTGTCTTCGGTCCACCCTCTCTGGGCACCTGGTGCTGGCCACTGTTGGCAGACAGGATACTAGGCTAGATGGACCTTTGGTCTGATCCAGTACGGCCGTTCTTATGTTCTTAACTGGTAAGCATCACCATTACCAGGTCATGCTTGCTGGCTACAGTTAACTGGTAGGGGCTGGAGCAGTCCTTCCCCCGCCCCACACTCCAACCTGGCCAAAGCAGCCTTCTTCCCCCCCATAGACATCAGGGATGGTCTAGATCAATGTTTCCCAGTTTTATTTGGCTACGGAACCCTTCTAAACTCGAAATAATTTTGCAGAACCCCTAATAACCGTCTTCTATATGGAGCTGAAAAAGTAGACCCCAAATAAGGCGCTCACACTGCTGACTGCATGTACAGCGCTGAGTAGTGACATCGTCCCCACTCTCTGGCTATCTGGCATTCCACAGGGACACGTATCGTGGCGCACACATGAAAAGTGTTTTCCATAAAATTCCTAAATGCTTAAATACTATTTTTTTAAATCATAAAATGTGATTGTGATGGAATTTTCTCGCGGAAGCCTTATTTTCACTTCGCGGAATGCCGGGTGCCGTGGAACACTGTGTGGGAAACATTGAGCTACTCGGTGCTTGGTCCTGCTGTGAGGGCAGGAGCCTGGACGTGAGACCTCTCAAGGTCCCTTCCAGTTCGATGATTCCGTGTACCGCCCAGTTCCCAGCTGGAACCTCTCAGTACAATATCAGTAATCACTAACGACAGGCAAAGGGCTTGGCAGAGAAGTGAGCATACACTCCTCTAACAGCGGTACCCCCCTGCTCTCACAGGACCAGCTTACGCTGCAAGCTAACGGGGGTGGAAAAAACAATGTGTCTGAAATGTTGATTTCAGTTGGCAGGTGATGGGCACTGTCAGGGTGGCAGCAAAACTTTTTACGAAGATGCCTCATGTTGTTCTTGTTTGTATAGCGGGGAAAGGAGCCACTGCCAGGTCAACACCAGGGCTGGGGGGCAGGACTCAGGGCTTCTGCCCTACCTACAGCTGTCCCAGTTCTAAGGCTAAAAGAACATCAGAGCGGCCAGACTGGGTCAGACCAAAGGTCCATCTAGCCCAGTGTCTTGTCTGCCCACAGTGGCCAGTGCCAGGTGTCCAATAGGGAGGGAACACAACAGGTAATCCTCACATGATCCCTCCCCTGTAATCCAATTCCAGAGAAACAGAGGCTAGGGTACACCATTCCTACCCATACCGGCTAATAGCTATTGATGGACCTAACCTCATGACGGTATCTAGCTCTTTTTTGAACTCTGTTAAAGTCCTAGCCTTCACCACATCTTCTGGCGAGGAGTTCCACAGGTTGACTGTGCAACCCAGTGAAGAAAAACATCCTTTTGTTTGTTTTAAACCTGCTGCCTATTAGTTTCATTTGACACCTCTAGTTCTTATATTGTGGGAGCAGGTAAATAACTTTTCCTTATTCACTTTTTCCACACCGGTCATGATTTTATAGACCTCTAGCATATACTCCCCCCCCCCCCCGCACT